ATCGTTAAATTAGCTTCGAAGTAATAGTTTATTAATCCTTTGCTCGTGAGGTGACTCTTAGTCACTTGATTTGACACAGCAAAACTACAAAGTTGAATATTTACTATTTCAAATAAAACTTTGTACTGCTATAGAAAATATTTCAATAAAATAGCTTTGTCGCTGAGTTTATCTGTGAATCATCGTTAAATTAGTTTCGAAGTGATAATTTATTAGCCCTTTGCTGGAGAAGTGACTCTTAGTCACTTGATTTAACACAGTAAAACCATGAAGTTGAAATTGTATTGCTATAGAAAATATTTCAACTTGATTTTACACAGCAAAGCTACAAAATTGAATATTTATTATTCCAAATAAAACTTCGTACTGCCACAAAAAATACTTCAACTCCATAGTTTCCCTATATCAAACGAAGTGTCAACCAACAGTCACCTCTCGCGAATAGTTAACAAACAAGCACTTCGCACGGTAGAAAAACGAATGGCGCGAACTTACGCGACAACCTGATACGTATCAACAGTGACGGCCCGAAGATTGCCGGGATTAATCGGGGAGAGATTGCTTTCCCGACGCGATCAGCATTTTTATAGAAAGTTCCGCCCGTACCGCCGTTTCCCGGCGGGTTCGTTACCCGTTTCAATTTTCTGCAATCGAACGCGCGGCGATGGGACAATCGGGCGCACGCCCGGCGAGGAAACGCTCGTTCCCGGCGGAGAAAACAGGCGTGTCCGATACACGGGAAACGAAGCTTCCGCTTTATTTGGGAGAAGAGAGACTGCGGCTTGGCCGGGCGCAGATAGAAAATCACGGGCGCCGGCAATATGTGGCGATTGTCGTCATCTTTCATCGGCCGCGCGAGGAACGGGGGTCGCCTCCGGGGCGAGGTCAAAGGCGAGCCGCGAAATAGAAAGCCCCGGCTGAAAGCTGTCGCGGGAGAACGGATACTGGAGCGTGTAGGAACCAGTTGCGCGGACTTCCTCGTCCTTTGATCCTCCCTTCTTCCTTCCTTTCTTTCAACTGATGATTGTGTTCTATCGAGCGAGCCCTTCAGGAAGTCTCCCAGTCAGCGGAGTTCGACAAATAATCTTTCTCTTGCGAATGCTCTTTTTATTCTTTCGAGGAGTGTGTCATTGGAATGAGCTTTGGTAAAGTGGACGGGTTTTGAGGAATATTGTGAAATAGAAACATTTGGCGGAGGAAGATAAATTATATATGTGTCTAGAATTTTTAGCGTAAGTTAAGGTGTTTTTAAGGGTGAATGTAAGAATGAGTGAGCGAAGGACAGGCTGTAAGACGGTAGAGGGAACGTGGAAACGATCTAAATGGGAATCATAGTACGTTCGACGTTGAACAAAAATTACGTAACAGTCTAGATAACACATAAATTAATTCTGTGTACGATTTTTCATGACCTGAACAAGTCAGAGCAAACAATCAAAAGAAACTGCGTTTCCGGGCTTTGAAACTAAAAGTGCGGGTTAATAGAGTAGAATGTACCGATCTCATTAGAAAATATTGTAGTATCTAGAATTCTTAGCGTAGGATAAGGTGTGCCTTGCGATTTATTTCTTAGCTACGATCGATGCAACTTCTATTGTTAATAATTTATTAGGAATAGACACAGCTCAAATCTTACTCGATACGTTCATCGATCCGAACGTGTTCGATTGTAACAACTGGACTGCGAATGCCTGTGCAAATTCAAAGTATAAACAATCTAAATGGAAATTTTCATTTCATATTAACATCTACTACGTTCATCTACAACTGACCCATTTCCCCATGCATCAGAACACAATCGATCGGTCCGCGAACGATCGAACTCGAGAGTTTCCACGGTAACGATCACTTATTCCCGCGGAACGCGCGTCAAATCGCGACGCCGAACGACGTCGCCGGCATCGATCGCGCGGAATTATCTCTCGCGCGTCGGCTGCGCCGTTAACTTTCGCCGAACAAGAAGCGGAATTACCGTCCGGGCGACTCCGTTCGAGAAACTTCGCCGGGTTTCTTGCTTCTTTTAAATTTCATTGGCTCGCGCCCACCTTCGCCCGTGTAATTTGCATCTCGCCGGATTATCGGAAACCTTTTGAAACTCGTATTATTACGAGCTCGCGACGCCCGGGAGAGGAAGGGGGAAGGGTTGAAGAAGCCGGTTCGAAAATTTACCTCGCCTCTTCTTCCTTCCCGTTTCCCCGGCGGCTTATCGATCTGACAGATTATTGCGATACACGGTCAAATATTGGAAGACGCCCGTCCTCCTGCTTACAGCGTCCGCTAACACGACGGCGCGCCCGATGGCTGCTCGATAATTTCGTGGCAGATTTACAGTGAAACCTGTTTTTGCGAGATAGGGACCGCACAAAAAAAATGTTCGGAAATGTTAGGAATTAGTGAGCGAGTGCTTTCAAACAAAAGAAATAATTGAATTACACGTGGAATCGTTTGAAAAAAATTTAGTTTCTCATACATGAAGAAACTTTCACAATGCATATAATTCACTGATGAGATATGTTCATTCACTGATAATATGCATGATGAACTGGTTCGAAGTCGCTTTCCTAGCTTGAAAAACAACAGCGTTGTAATTCATCTATTAAAGAATATACTTTCTGTAATATAACTGTTGAAGAATATACTTTCTATAATGTAACTATTAAAGAATATACTTTCTATAATATAACTGTTGAAGAATATACTTTCTGTAATATAACTATTAAAGAATATACTTTCTATAATATAACTATTAAAGAATATAGTTTCTGTGATATAACTGTTGAAGAATATATTTTCTATAATATAAGTATTAAAAAATATAGTTTCTGTAACATAACTGTTGAAGAATATACTTTCTATAATATAACTATTAAAGAATATACTTTCTACAATATAACTGTTGAAGAATATACTTTCTCTAATATAGCTATCAAAGAATATACTTCAACCCCAAGCGTAAGATCATTTCGAATATCCAATAATCTTAAGATATTAATAATTAAGATACAAAATACAGTTTAACGCTAGAAGAGCATTCAATACGATGAACACGTAACCCCATAGAAACTAATAGCTAACCCTCAGTTTCTATAATATCCAAGCGAACCCATTTCCAATCAAATCAAACAATTCTCCCATCAATACCATAATGTCCAACTGCACACAGTCTTGAAACCAACGCTATAGTGCTCAGTACAATACCATAACCTCCAAAACGACAATATTGTTCCCCAGTCAATACCATAATTCCCAACGCGACGCTATAGTTTTCAATTGAACACGGTAATCCCCGAACTGATGCTGTAGCCCCGAAAGTAATGCAGTTCCCAAAGCGACCGCTTTAAATCAAAACCCGCTTAAGGAACTCAACGGGCCGGGTCGGGGCGGGTTAACCGATGGCAGCGAGCCATCGAAAACGGAAATTATTAAGGCTACGTGCCGGCCGTGAATAAATATTGGCGGAAGGACGCGTTAGCCCTGCCCGTCGAGGGGATTGTATGTACGTCGTTGCTCGATAGATAAATAGGTAATGAAATTTAATAGAAAAAGAACAGAAAGAAAATAGAGCAGAAGGAAGGGTTAGAGGGATAGAGAGAGGGAGGGAGTAGCAAATGGCGTTCCAGGACTGGCGGAACCCGCTGGAACCGCAATGATTTAGGGGATCGATGCGGCGGCGGTCGGACGCTGGCTGCTGCTCCCGTTTCGTAACAGCCCCGATGGAAAATAAAAGCGGCAGTCGGCCAAGAGCCCGGTTGAACGCGAATCGATTTATTTACTGTTTATTCCACTCGGTACCGGCGTATCCACGGGTCTTCGGTATTTTTGACGCCGGGATATCGGCCGACTTTCGCGTTATCGTGCACCGTGCTCTCCTATCGGTGCGCTCTCTGCTATTTATATTCTATGCGATCCCCGAAGCCTTTCAGTGTTATGCTAATGTTGCACTTGCAGCCGATTTTTAGAAGTTTTTTGAAACCTTCCTTGTATTCCAGATATCGAAGTGGCTTTGTTAAATAGAAATCCTGTTGGTGAACCAATTCTCAAATTAACACATTGCAGTCTAAAAATTTGTCACTAGAAATATTCAATTTATTTTTATGAGATATAGATGATAAAAAAATTGTAGTACCCCGAGCCTTTCAGTGTTATGCTAATGTTTCACTTGCAGCCGATTTTTAGAAGTTTTTTGAAAAGGAATTCCGGTAAGTGGTTCCCCGTATTCGGATGAAGGGTTGTTCTCAACCTTCCCCGATTCACGCGTGTGTCGCGCTTTTCGATGAGGGTGAAATGGGAAACGTGGAATGTAGGATGTATACGTGGCCGGGAGATTACGAGGTTTCGCAATTGGGGAATATAATATTATAGAATGTGGACTGGGAGATTGTGTGAATAATATATTGGTGAATAATGTGTTTATCGATTATGAAGTGCGAAATGGAAAACGTGAAATGTAGAATGCATGAATGTATGTAATATGTATAGAAATTGGGAATTCATAATTATAGAATATAAGTTATAGAATTGTGAAATATGTAGTGGAGAATAATGCATCCGTTGATTAACACTTTAACTGCCGTGTCGTCCGAATTCGGATGACAGCATTTTCTCCATCAACGTAAAAATGAATTTTCTCGGTGATGTATCCAACTGAATTTTGTTAGATGTATTAAATATAGAAAGAATATCAGGGCGATCGTTACGAAGAATTTTGGCCGTTTAGTTTCTGTTTTACTATGAAAATTATTTTGATTGTGGAGGTTTTGGCGAGTGCTCATTTGGCAGGCTACGTGTTAAAATGGAATACGAAGGTTTGCGGATATTCCTGAGAAATTCCGAAAATCCGAGCAGCATAGACAAATGAATTTTATACAACCCTTGAAACGAAGAATAAGAGACAAGTTCAATCGACTAGTCTGCAAACAATTTACAATTAATATCACACACACACGATAACGTCTGATAAGATGTCAAGGATTGATTCGAACGTTTCCTTTGTTTAACAGGTGCAATGAGCTAATGACGTAACCGGAAATACGAGGCCTCCGAACCTTGGCCTCGAGAACCAGCTATCAGAGACTACATCGGTGGGTTGGTTGTCCCCGAAACACGTCCAGATACGTCGCAACGACGATCGCCGCGGCGATATGTCGTTCCTGTTGAGCCGGGGCGGCCGGAAGGGGCCCATCATCTGCTTCGTCGGAATTTTGCTGATCTTCGCGCTTTATCAGCTGGGTATCATCTGCGGCTCCATGAAGTCCGTTCCCACTGCGATGATGGTCGCTAAAGAGGTGAGCGATTTTCTGTTCTTCGAATAGAAATAAATTATACAAGCGATGGAATACTAGAATATTATTTTAGATTATTATTCTAGAGTTCTATACTATATATATTCTATATTATCTATATTAGAATATTATTCTAGATTATTATTCTAGAGTTCTATACTATATATATTCAATATTATCTATATTAGAATATTATTCTAGATTATTATTCTAGAGTTCTGTACTACATATATTCTATATTATCCAGTTCGAGTTTTTTCGAGTTCTATACAATATATATTCTGTATTATCTATATTATTAGAAATAATCTAACAGAAATGATCTAAATAATCGATCAGTTGTTATTTAACACATTGCCTAAGATTTCTTGCTCGTTAATTTCTTTTGCGCGACAGAAGTCAGCAGGAACACAATATTTCTCTCGAGCCGCAAGTTCTTGATGAAAACAATTTCGGAAATGGCGCGCATACGCGAGGTATCATTTATCTTTTACCTCTAACCATTAGCGTCTACTTCTACTTACGTTAATGCGGAAGTGCAGACACAGGTGTGTTACAGTAGCTCTACATGAATCGCTCTCTCCGCGAAGAGTAACAACGACGGGAATTACGTGTTTTACCCGCGCCGTCGTTACAGTTTGTCGCGGGTAGAATTTACGCGACACGAAATTTCGACGATTTTTCATCAATGATTTAATCGTTCTACGCTTCAACACTGTAGCGCATACCGTACGAATTCCGAAAAATCGATGCAATTCCAGTTTTAACGTTCACCTTTTGCACTCTGAATTTCTTTTGCAGTTTTCCCTCGATAGCTATTATTACTAATTTATTCGAGATGCATTTGAAAAAATAGCGTAAACGATTCTTACTAATTTTTAATTTATAGATTACTTAAAGTTACGATACTAATAATATTGAAGATAACATATTCTTCTTACCAATTTTTTAATTTATAGATTACTTAAAATTACGATACTACGCTAATAATATTGAAGGTAACATAGTAATACAGTCTATTTAAAAAATACCTCGGCAAAGAATCACACCTGTAAATAAAACCGTAAATAAATCTTTCTGCAAATGTTTTTCGTAACCACCGTCCGTATCATTCATATGTAAACGAAATAAATCGCAGTCGATCGAGAACCAGTAAGCAAATACTTCACTCTAGTGTCAACACAACCGACAAATATGAGAAGTAAAAATCAGTTACCGGAGAACGAGAACAAAGGAAAAGAAAAGTGTTCGTTGAAACGCGGAGAATCTAAAACACGAACCGGGCAATTAGCGCGCGGTTTTAATGGAGAATGGAAAGCAACGGGTTCAAAATAACAGAATCCGCGTTAACGGGAAAGCACGAGGGTCCATAAAACGCGGGTTCGATTGGTTGGAAGTGCGGCCTGTAGCGTCGGTTAATTCCACCGTCGTGGGCCGGCGCCGTTGTAAATTCGGTGGAACGATATCGGCCAGCCGACGGTATTTTAAATAGTTCACGAAGTCAGTTATTCGACCATTGATTTACCAGATTGACTAACGGGTGCAAACATTCCGGAGACTCGCTAAACGCGAAACATACGAGCGTTAACACTTTGACTGCCACGGCGGTCACCGATGACCGGAGCTTTCAAATTACAAGATAATTGTTGAGAGCAAGGATGAAATATATTTTGAATGGCTACAAAGTTGGTGCAGGCGTCCTCGCAGGCGTCAGTTGTTTTTCCTGAGGACAGCTATTTTTATTGCACGCGCTGAGCGTCTTTTTTCTCTCTCTATAATACACACTTAGTTTTCAAACTGTGTTGTGTTTATTTCTGCGAATAAATATTCAATAATAGTGATGACTTGGAAGATAATTGATTTCGAGTACGAATTTTCTGTAACGTTGACAACTAGATAATAGGGTAACATAAGAATTTTCATATTAAAGAATTAATAATTCTTGCTTTTTTTCTTTGCTATAGAAAGAATAAGTGATACATAAAACACTGATGTTCTTCGTTGCAGTCAACGTGTCAACCCTTTATAGGTTAGTGGCACATATAGATGCCACTTTTTTTACTGGTCAAATTACAGGGACTCTGTTCACCATTTTGATGCTTATGGTGTTGCAGGAACGTGGCACAAATAGGTGCCATAAAACGAGGAATCTAGGAAAATGTCGAAAAAGAATTCTCAATAATAGTTTTTTAACCCTTTGCACTCGAGAGGTGCCTTTCACTCTCCATTTGATTGAACCCAACGAAATTATGAAATTTAAGATTCAGTATTAAATTTTCTATAATCTACCAACACATGGAACATCGAAATAAAATAGTTCCGTCACTTAATTTATGCAAGATATTGTCTTATATTAATTGTAAACAATACCATTGATGTTTCACCAGAATATTCACCAAATATTCTCGAGTGCAAAGGGTTAAAGTATGTCTAATATATATGCGGTAGGGAATAAGAATTATCATCGAAACGATAATTTGCCCTATAAAGGGTTAAACGAAAAAAGAGAACACCACTAGAGAATATTCGTTTCCGTCGGATTTCGCAACGGTCGCGCGAGTAAAATATTACTTTGCAATGTATAATGCGTTACGGTAGGAACGAAGGAGACTTTTTCTCGCGAACGACGCTACAGGTCAACCACGGGGCGGGATCAAACGCGTTTGTACCTCTAACCCTTTGATTACGAGTGAGCTACCCCGGGAAGCTGCGCCGCATCGCGAACAGCACTGCCGCTGAGTGCGATTTGTCGGGATTAACATAATGCGTTTAGTGCATTCCACCGTTCTCACGTTAGTGCAGAGTAATATCTGAATATGTTGCAATATTCTCATTTGTATTTGGGTAATAGAGGAGGATATGGGGTTGTATTGATATTGTTATTTAAGATGTCATCTAATTGTACGCTGTAGTTGATTGTAGTTCGTAACTAAGGAGTTGAATATTTCTATCGTTTCTTAGGTTATTGATGATTGAAGAAACTGAAGTTAATATTTCTACGTAGAAGATTGAGAAATTATGTTGCTGTTTCTATTTATCACATTACTGTCTACTTCTACTTGTAAAATTATTCTTAGAATTTTCAAATTATATAATGAAGCAATGAGAACCGAAATGAACTAGGTAATACAATATGCAATCAGAATACTGATCAGATTCTCTTCCATCACCGAAGAAATAAAAAAAATGGTTACTACTTTAGTTGCACGTGTTAAGAGTCAAATATTCCTATCATTTCTCACGTCATCGATAATTAAAGAAACTGAAGTTAATATTTCTACGTGGAAGATTGAGAAACTATGTTACTGTTTCTATTCATCAAGTTACTATCTACTTCTATTCATCAAGTCACCATCAGAATCTTCAAATTCTATGATAAAGCAATGAAAACCTAAATGAACTAATACAGTATTCAGTGGATCAATGATTACTTCCATCACCGAAGAAACCAAAAGAAACAAGCATAGCAGCCGAAAAATCGAGAAGCCAATCTGCCCGTAATTCCCAGCGTCCTCGCTCGGCACTCCCATCACGCCGTCCATCGCGGTATTTGGCAGCGCGGCGGGTTGGCCCGGTAATTACGGATTAGTTTCATCCGAGTTTTCGCGGGCCGGCTCGGTGAATAGCGGGTACGTGCGCGCAGGGACAATCGTCGACGCCCTGGAACGCACGCCCAGTCGGAACGAGTTTCCGCGAAGTTCGTTGCGTACGTGTCGCCGCCGCGAGCGCAACAGCGGACACGAAGAATCAGTTAAATTGACTTTTCCAAATGTCTCTATAGTAACTTCGGGAGTTACTATCAACATCCATCGAGAGTTTAATCGATTCGCGAATTCGCTTCTGTGTCGCTGAAGCAATTCCTTGAATAACTTGAAACTTGTTACCTTTTAATTGGACACATTCGACATTTTTCGACCACATATAGACGATTATTTGAAACTAATTTAATGACAATTCGCCATTTATTGAAACATTTCCTATAAGAATACAGAGTTTCGTTTAAAATACTAAGTACTCAACACAGTTTTGCTGTACCAATCGACTGAGAGTCACTTCTGTGTTTTGTTCGTAGTTCTGATTGGTAGTGTTGAATAGCTAAGATGAAACATTCATATTTGGAAGACCGAGCCGCAGGCGAATGATTGCATTACTCGGACAGCAAGAGATTAGCACGTAGTTTCTGATTTCGCTATTACTTAAGCAATTAATATACAATTCAGCTTCCGTTGCGGGTTTCGTACATTTCAAAGAATCTTCGTCCGCAAAGGGTTAATTCTCGATTCAGAGTATCCCGGGACACTATCGCCACGAAGTTTCCATCTTCTATCGTTCCTAAGCAACTGTACTGCTGAAAATTTCCATCATCGCGTTTCCATCATCCCCTTCGAGCAAGTAACTTCAATCTCCAAACGAGCAACCCCCGAAAATGCGAGCGAAAGAATGAACTCACCAGTGTACTCGAACGTCTCGTTCGAGTAGCGATCCATGAAACCAATACCAACATAAATTACTCCTCGCGAGGCACCGGGTACAACGTTCCCCATATAATTTCGTCAAATTCACAACAGCCCCTCCCACCTGAAATTACAGCCGCGCCGCGGCGAGCGTTAACGAGCAGAGGA